TTTTTTTTTTTTTTTGAGACAGAGTCTCGCTTTGTTGCCTAGGCTAGAGTGAGTGCCATGGCGTCAGCCTAGCTCACAGCAACCTCAATCTCCTGGCTCAAGCAATCCTTCTGCCTCAGCCTCCCGAGTAGCTGGGACTACAGGCATGCGCCACCATGCCCGGCTAAATTTTTTTTATATATATATATTAGTTGGCCAATTAATTTCTTTCTATTTTTATAGTAGAGACGGGGTCTCGCTCTTGTTCAGGCTGGTTTCGAACTCCTGACCTCGAGCAATCCGCCCGCCTCGGCCTCCCAGAGAGCTAGGATTACAGGCGTGAGCCACCACGCCCGGCCACCTCCTACTTTAAATATCAAATATTCTCATGCGTGGCTTAAAGACAGAAATATGTTCTGAGTCCTTAGGCCGCTTCATCATTGTGCAATCATAGAGTATACTTATGCAAACCTACATGGTGTAGCCCACTACACACCTAGGCTATATGGGATAGCCTGTTGCTCCTAGACTGCAAACCTGTACAGCATGTTACTGTACTGAATACTGCAGGCAATTGTAATACAGTGGCATTTGCATATCTAAACATACAAAAGTACAGTAATATTACCATAAGACTACCATCCTATATGTGGTATGTCATTGACCAAAAATCATTATGTGTCACATGACTGTACTTTTAACTTTGTAAACACTCATGACATTTTGATTTTTAAAAATTTTTTAAAACATTTTAAATCATAAAGTGCTTAACATTATTAACTTTGTGCCTGGAACAAAGTCAATTCTCTGTATTATTATTAGTGTTTAATAAATGTTAGGCATTTTTAACACAAGGGAAAATGTTTATCTTCCCCAAAGGTTTGCTGAGCTCCTTCATAGATTTGGAGCGTGCCCTGACGGGACAAGTTTTTCTGGTGAATTTAATTACTTTGTTAAACAGATTGAGAAGATTTGGGATTTTCAGAGGTATTCTGCAGAGTAAGGAAGAGGTGGGAGAAGGGAAAGAGGAAGAGATGGAGATAGAGAATGAGACTGAGGATTCATTACCAGAAAGACCACCAACTGCCCTTGTGGGGAAAGGAGATGGGTGAAGAATAATGATCCAGGGTGGATCAATATCGTTTGAGGTTTTTGTATTTCAATAATGTGAAGAACTCCAATGTTATGAATAGGTTTGTGGTAGAAATTGAGGAAGGGTCATTTCCCACTTGGGTTGAAATTATAATGGAGAGAACAGCACAGAAGCAGAGGCCAGGAGCCAAATCCCCACAAAAAAATCCCCACAAGAGTTTGACCATGGTTCCTTGGCAGGCATTTGTCTTATGTCTTCTTACTAATGGAAGCTAATCTGGCCTACACCTGGGCAGGACAGGTAAATTGAGATGGGCATAATTATGTCTTCTTACTAATGGAAGCCATTCTGGCCTACACCTGGGCAGGACAGGTAAATTGAGATGGGCATAGTTTCAAAGTTCTGTACCTGCCCAGCTGGGTCAGAACTCATTTTTGTTGTAAAATCTCCCAGAGTCAAGAGAATCCTTGGCTTGAAGATTTTCGAGGACTAGAGAGGAGCCCTGCCCTGGCTCCCTAGGTACAGCCAGAATGAGCCAGACTTTTAGGTATGGGATATCCGACCCATGTAGGACTAGAACTGTTGTGATGTCCCCGTGGTTGGAGGGATATGCATTTATGAGGTAATAACTAAGTAGCCAAAAGCGTGAGGAGTAACATCGTTGCTAGGCAACTGGCTTCATTAACTCAATGGCTTCCATCAAGGTAACACAAAATTCCTTGAAGTCTTCCCTGGCCCTCTTCCCCAAGTCTCCCTTCCGATGCAGCAGTGAACCGATCAGCCCCTGTACAACTGTAGCAAATATGTGACCCCACGGCAACTTCTTTATGCTCCCTGCGCGTGTCCGCATCTGTGAAATGGGTAGAGGTAGCAATAATTGCCTCACAGATGGACCAAATGTGGCAGTAACAGGGGGGCTTAACAGTGAGTCACTACTTATCTTCCAACCACCTGGCAAGCTCATTGCACTCATCATTACCCGGGCTCCCGACTCTCCTTTAAACTTCCTTCTCGCTTAAATTTTGCAGACGCACGCAGGAGGGAAAGTCAGTTCGCATCTGACGCCCTCCCCGCTCTGTCGCTCTTTCCCAGGGCCCACCCTCCGCGGACGCAGAGCGTCTGCCGGCCGGGCGACGGTCAGCGATGGCGGCCTCCGCGGCGGCCGGTCCCGTCCTGCCGTCGGCTTGCAGGCGTCCGAGGGCCAGCTCGGAGCCTCTGCGGCGCTGCCCTGCAGGGAGAGCGCGGCCGCCAGCCCGAGCCTCGGGGGCGCGAGCGGGAGGACGGCACTGCAGAGGCGGCCGCGGGGACCACGGCCAGAGACGGGATGGCGCGCCGGGAGACGACGGATGACGGGCACCCAGAACGCGCCAAGCCATCTCCGCCGGACCTCCTCCGACCTGAGCCCGCAGTTATCCTCCCAGGTCCGACAGCCGCTCCAGAAGCGACAGCTACGCGGGCCGCGGCGCGCGCCGCCCGGGAGCGGAATGTCGGCCGGGGCCGGGGCCGGGGGGGCTGGAAGGGCGCCGGAGAGGTGAAGCGGGACCCGCGTCCGCGCGCCCGGATGCCGGCTGCCCGGTGCCGCCGCCGGGAGCGAGTACGCTGCTGACGTCACGCGCCGTCCGTCCAATGAGCGGAGGCCCGAGGGAGGCGCCGGCCCGCCCCCGCCGCCGCCGCCACCACACCGGCCCTCCGGAAGCGTCTGAGGAGGCGCGGGCCGCTGCGGGCTTAGGCGCCGCACCGCGCCGGCCCGAGCCGCTGGACGAGGCCCAGGCAGCCGCTCGCCCGGACCCCGCCGCCCGATGTCCTCAAGATGGAGGCAGCGGTGGCGGCGGCGTGAAGAAAGCGGCGCTGTGGGCGCGGGAGCAGGGGCCCGGGCGGAGGCGGTGGCGGGATGGGGCTGCTGCTCATGATCCTGGTGTCGGCCGTGCTGGGCTCCTTCCTCACGCTCCTCGCCCAGTTCCTGCTGCTGTACCGCAGACAGCCCGAGCCGCCGCCGGACGAGGCCGCCCGCGCGGGCGACGGCTTCCGCTACATCAAGCCCGTGCCAGGCCTGTCCCTGAGGGAGTACCTTTATGGCGGCGGCCGGGATGAGGAGCCTTCCAGCGGGGCCCCAGAGGGCGGCGCGACCCCAACTCCGGTCCCCGAGACCCCCGCCCCGCCAACGCGGGAGACCTGCTACTTCCTCAACGCCACCATCCTGTTCCTGTTCCGGGAGTTGCGGGACACTGCGCTGACCCGCCGCTGGGTCACTAAGAAGATCAAGGTGGAGTTCGAGGAGCTGTTGCAGACCAAGACGGCCGGGCGCCTGCTGGAGGGGCTGAGCCTGCGGGAGGTGTTCCTGGGCGACACGGTGCCCTTCATCAAGACCATCCGGCTCGTCCGGCCCGTGGCGCCCTCGACCACCGGAGAGCCTGACGGCCCCGAGGGGGAGGCGCTGCCTGCCACCTGCCCCGAAGAGCTGGCCTTCGAGGCAGAGGTGGAGTACAACGGGGGCTTCCACCTCGCCATTGACGTGGACCTGGTCTTTGGCAAGTCCGCCTACCTGTTCGTCAAGCTGTCCCGAGTGGTGGGGAGGCTGCGCTTGGTCTTTACTCGCGTGCCCTTCACCCACTGGTTCTTCTCCTTCGTGGAGGACCCGCTGATCGACTTTGAGGTACGCTCCCAGTTTGAAGGGCGGCCCATGCCCCAGCTCACCTCCATCATCGTCAACCAGCTCAAGAAAGTCATCAAGCGCAAGCACACGCTTCCGAATTACAAGATCAGGTGAGAAGGAGGGTGGGGGAAATAGTAGTCCGCAAGCTGGGAGGCCCTGGCTGCTTGGAATCCGGGCCTGGGCGGGATGCTGCGTTGAGTGTGGAGGACAAAAGCTTGTTTGTACCGCAGTCCCTACTACTCCTGAAATCTTCTTCTTCCCACTCTGGACAGGGCCCTAAGTAAAGGCAAATAGTGGACATTTTCTTCCAAACGGCACTAATATGAGCTGGAAACCTTTTCGTGTGCTCATGGGCACTCAAGGTGCTGTCAACATGGGTAGAATTGTCTCCTTTTAAGCAGCGTATTGAAAATGGAAAGGAAGCCTAAGCCTATCCTAATCCTCAGGAGTCTCTTCTGGGACTGTTGAGAAACTCTTTCTCTGTGTGGTTGCTGCATTGAGAGCAGCCGTGTCACTGGCTTTGCATCATCACCTTGGCCACGTTGAGAAATTGTTCCTGGACCCATTACGGGCATGATGGTGTGCTCCTAGCCCAGATCAGTTCTGTTTAGCCATTGCAAGCCACGTTTGCTTTGATGCTTAGGCATCTTTCAGGGTAGAGGCAGTGGCTATTGCAAAGGAGTACTTTCCACAGCAAATTGGAAAGGAGTTGGGAGCCAGTACGTAGTGTGCTTCTCTGTACATTTTGTATTAATGTAATCTGCTCTTTTTGGGTAGATTCTGTAGCACAGACCCAGACTCTGCCCATCAAGCATTTACTATCCATGGCTGTAAATTCCTCACAAGGTACCTGAAGTCACTCTGCAGATAGTATTTTAATAGGTGGTAATTTTAATTATCAAAAGCCCTACTGCATCTGATGGCTTAAGTTTATGTAGTATAGATTTTTTGAGTAATGTATGAGTTTTCTTTTAACATCATAGAAGTGATAGAAGGAAAAAGGCAGTTTTATAGGGCTAAAGGCTTCCTCCACTTTGATCTGGGAAAGCTTGTTGGAGTGGAAAGGGCTGTTTCTTTTTTAAAAAGCTGAATTTTTAATTCTCTGTCATCCTCTAATTTTGTGTTCACTAAGATGTTTGAACCTTTTGGGTTTTGCCCTTTATCTTAAAATCATTTCAGTCGTATAGTTGCCTTACCTAATGCTTTTTAGTGGAAGTTGCCTGTTTGTGGATCACTCATTTTCTACCACAGTCTCAAGCATCAGTGAGCCAGATAATATGAAATATTTTGAGTTTGAAATGGAGTATTAACTTGTGTATGTGGCAGATGTACCTTAGTAAATATGTCCTGTTTAGACTAACAGCGCAGAATGACAGCTTAAAACTGTTGGGTGGCAGGAGAAATTTATCTTATTATGAAAATATCTCCATAGATTTGCAGAGGACGATGAGCTGGTCCTCACTGTGTTTGATTTCTCCTTCTGTGATGTGGAACATACTTTATGAAATGTACTTTTTGTTTGTTTGTTTGTTTTTGTTTTTGGAGACGAGAGTCTCGCTTTGTTGCCCAGGCTAGAGTGAGTGCCATGGCGTCAGCCTAGCTCACAGCAACTTCAAACTCCTGGGCTCAAGCAATCCTCCTGCCTCAGCCTCCAGAGTAGCTGGGACTACAGGCATGCACCACCATGCCCGGCTGATTTTTTTCTATATATATTAGTTGGCCAATTAACTAATTGTTAATTTTTATTTATAGTAGAGACGGGGGTCTCGCTCTTGCTCAGGCTGGTTTTGAACTCCTGACCTTGAGCGATCCGCCTGCCTTGGCCTCCCAGAGTGCTAGGATTACAGGCGTGAGCCACCACGCCCGTCCGAAATGTACTTTTAACCTCAGGAATATAAGTGACTAAATTATAATTGGATTCTAGTGTTTAAGCAGTGAGATGTTTTAGCAGTGTGTTGCTGAGAAAGTCATGAGAAAAAGTTGTTCGGATTTTTATATTCTATTACAACTTTAATTCTGATGTTTTCTGGGTAGCTTTCAGGTAATAGAATTTGGGTTATTATTTTGAAATTTGCAGAATAGTTAGTAGCAGTAGGTTGCATATCATTTTTAGATTTTTTTAAAAAATGTAGACTTGAAATTTAAGTAAATCTGAAAGACATTATGAATAACAGTTACGGAGGAATTGATAAGTTTGTTGTTTTGAAGAAACTTTGAATTATTGAATAGCATTGCCATTTAAAAGTATGGCAAATTGCTTTTTATTATATCCAAAGGGATTTTTAAAAAGCACAGCATGAGTTCGGTAATGATATATCAACTTCTAAACATTAATCATTAAATGATCACCTCCAGAAATGTACACATCTGTACTCTTTATATTAGAGGGCATCTCAGTGGTCAATCAGTAAATACTGCACAGAAGTCACTCAATCTGCAAATATTTATTGTACACCTGCTGTATGTTTATCATTGTTCTAGGTGCTGGGTCTTGAATACCAAACAGAAATAGACAGCCTCAGCCCTCATGGAGCTTAGAGTCTAGTGAAAATTGAATGAGCTATACTTAAGATTTTAAACTAGGTTGGGATTGAAGGAGTTGAAGTAACAAGGAAGCTGATTTTAGCTTAGTAAAAGAAAGTAATAGAAGTATGAGGATGAAAGGGCTGCCTCAGGAAGTGTTGACTTCTCGTCTGTGTAGCTGTTCTGTCAAAAGTGTTTTAAACTGGTGGTAATGGTGGGACTGACTCAAGTTTCAGATAAGAGAATGAATTGAAGATATATCACACTAATCACAACAAGAATTAAAGTAGCTAGTATTTATCCTTTTTTATTGAGAGAATGGAGCTCAGAGTACTTAAACAACTTTCTTAAAGTCACACAGCTGTCAATTGGTGAAACCTAGGTCTGATAAAACCAGGTGGATTTTTTAAAACTACACTTCATTCTTAGGGATTTTTTTTTTTAAGTATGCTATTAATATATATGTGGGGTATCTTTCCAAATTATCTTAAAACTCTTAAGAGTTTGACTAATAGAACTTATTTTTTTCTTAAATTGGAAATTTCCAGAGAATCTTTTTCAAGTTAAATTATGATGTTAAATCTTTGGGTGCTGCCCCACATAGCATTTCTTTTTTAATCCAGCAGATTGTGTTTCCAAATAGGTCTTGCTAGTTTATCCTTTTTAGCCATCTAATCTCCTTAGTAGAGGTAAAGCTGTAAAGAAAATTGTATTGAGTCACATAACAGAAATATCTTGCCAGTTAAGGTTGTTGTTACTTCTTTCTCCCTTCATTCGTTTTTCCTCTTTCATATTGCTAAGGCAAAGGTGGCCTATCTGGATTGCCAATTGCTGATGTTTTACCTAGAGATGCTAAGTAGCTCTAGTGGTTGCTTCCAAAGGACCCAGCTGATTGACACTTCACTTTACCCAAGTAACACATTTTGTAAAACATAATATTTTAAAAAAATGAATTGTAATACATAGAAAATGTCTTTACAAATTTATTGGAGTTAGGAATTTAATTCACCCACCTCAATCTTAATTGTTCTGATATTTTTTCCTTAAATGTATACTTTAAAATAGTGTATTACAGTAATATTTTTAAAAAAATTAACCCCAAAATTTGTCTTCAGGGGAGAAAGATTACCACTTATGTTCTCTCTTTACTACATGGAGAGTCTGTCTTTAACATGAAATCTGAGTAATAGGTTCCAGGTGGGGAGGAGTGGTTAGGGTTTAGGAGTCAAATATTTGAGATTCTTACTGATGCTTTTCTGTTCCTAGAATATTATTGCAGTGTAGCTAGCACTGATTACATACTGGAAGAGCAAATTCAATTTGCAGGTACTTTTATTTGGCCTGCACTATTTTTGTGTTTGTTTTTCAATTGCCAGCATTAAAAAATGGAAGGGTTTGCATGATTTGGATTCCTGGATTCTGTTAGAGACAATTGGAATATCTTGTAGCACCACTTCTGCATTTCTCATAGCAACAACAGCACGGAAATGGACTGTAGTAGCAGCTTTGGGGTTGAAACTTGGTGTGTAAGCTCCTACATGTAATTTATAGTCCCCATTTACTTGCTACACTTAATTGATGGTGCTTGCCTCGCCTGGATTCATGTGGATTTGAGACCCTTACTGGAGGAGTAAATAGGAAGCGTCACTGTTGATTATTAGTGAAAATGGGAAGACTTAATAGCTGTGTTGGGGGGGGGGGTTGTCATTTTTACCTCTCATTGAGCAATTTTCTTTTTTAAGACATTATCAATATAATGTTGAATTTTAAAAAGTCATTCTGCCAGGAAAAAAAAAAAAGTCCCTTGAAATATTTCTTTCTCTGCCACGTAGCGATAGTAGATAGTGGCTACTTTTTGTTTGAGTTTGGTGAATGTTTTGCTTTAGTGGGCTGGGTCATTAATAATTATGTAAACATTTACTTCTCTGATCTACAGAAGGGAGGCATCTACTTATTGACACTATATTTGAATTTAATAAATAAGTATGGAACACATATTTGGGGAAAACTTCAATTTATAAGTTCATGGAATATCTTCTGAACATGACTGTTGTTATAACTGATAGTTTTGTTCTTTTACTCCTGAAAAACATTTTGAAATGTATTTGTGCAAAATTTTCAAATATCCTTAGTGACTGGAGAGCAATAAGGACCATTTTCCCTGCTAAAGGTGAGGAACAAGGCTATATTTAGTTAAACAGAGGCTTTAATATCTTTATATTTATTTATATGCCATTAATTTAAGAGAACTAAATTAGGCTTGGTCCTGGAAAGCCACATACTCTATAATGTGGTTTGTAATTAAGTTACTTCTTGGTCTTCTGAGATGAGGAAGAAAAACATTCCTTCTCAATGTTAATTCTCACTTTTTTATTTTACTAATTATCTGAGGTAAAGATGGTTTTGAATAATCCATATCTTCTCAAAATCTTTCAAGGTAGATTCACTGAAAGCTGATGCAATCATTTGTAAAGTTAAGTGTAATGTATTTATTTACCTTTTCATACTTTTTTCTTTCTATTACAGACAACTGCTAAAAGGTATCTTTGTTTAGATTGGAAAATACTTAAAAACAGCTACTGAAATT